CACACACACACACACACACACACACACACACACACACACACACACACTCAACAAACAGGGCTATCCTTATTCTGAAACAACAGCTGACTGACAGTAACATGAATCTCGGCCAATAATTTGTTTAGACTATTTTTCTTTAGATACATAAAGTTCAAACAAGGGGGAAAAATGAGACATGATTTGACGATCAGTTGATTGTAGGCAAGAGTTGACCAATCATACTCCACTATGTAAGGTCCCATATAGTCGACTGATATGAAACAGGAAATGAACAGCGATCTGTACTTTGTGGCTCAATAACATCATCTTTTTGTCCTTTAGACAGAGCCAGGCTAAGAGTTTCCCCCTGTTTCCAGTCTTTGGGCAAAGCTAAGCTAACCATCTACTGTTGTAGCTGCATATTTCGACAGATATGAGAGTGACATCGATATTCCTACCCAACTCTCAGCAAGAAAGTAAACAAGTGAATGTCGAACTACTCCTTTGAACTACACATTTAATAGCCTGATCGATGCACGCGACTTTTGGTGACATGTACGCACATAAATCATGCAAACAAGTGCGCATCAGATCTTTAAGAAACCTGATCAGAGTCGAATCCTCTGAAGGACAAAGACCCAGAGCGTGACAAAACAGTTATTAAACCAAGAGCAAGCGAGACGATCTCTAGACTGAGCAGCAGGGAAAGGGGAGACGTGACCACGGAGGGGTGACAGAGCGAGACGCCAAAATGAAGAAATGCAGAGATGAGAGGATAGAGAAATAGAGGGCCTGCCACACCTGACAGAGGGAGGAGGAAAAAAGAAGAACATTCAAACCAGATAAACGGATCAGACTGGTAGTATATGAAAGTATTATGACATTGAAAGGTAATTCTATAGTTTGTGATATTTTAAAAAAGGCTGCTCAAATTGTGTCAAATTCACCGTGTTATATACATTTTACAGCAGTTTATATTTCAACCTGTTGTAACACGTCAAGTACAAGTTTTGCTTTTTGGGCGTTCATGGTCTAAATGTGCAAACACAGGGGGAACATTTTAACTGTGACATTTTGAATATGATTTTAATATTGCAAACAAAACAAAAACTTTAATAAACCCAAGCCGATTAAAACACATCATTATTATAATTCCTGCTCTGTATTTGGACAGAGGGAGTTGGATTTTAAGCCGCCTGGGTGAAGACAATAATAATAACGAACAGACTGACAAGCAGCATTTAATGTCAATCAGTATGAGAGCCTTGTTGTGTATTTTTTCCTGCCATTATCACGTAATGGCAGGTAAATACGGTGTTTTAGCTTAGACATTAAATTCTGTCCTCGGTCTTTGGAAGCCAATTGAGCAGTTTGTCTGGTTCAAGAAAATAAACAATCAACACCAAAGACTAAAATTACATTTTTTTAAAAAAGCTCACCGGCTTTATATGTAAAAAAAAAAGATGTCTGTCTCCTGCTTATTTCCTCACAATCCAGCAAGTGATGATAAAGCCGGAAGTAGGAAACAGCGGGGCCTCGTGGGAGTCTGTCCTCCGGGGACAGAGGAAGGAAATTACTACCAACGACACCAGTTTGGAGCAGCGGTGGCCATCAGATAAAGACATTGATTTACAAGTGGTGTGTACAATCGAGGTCACCTTGTGCTCTCTCTGTGTTACAGTTACATCATCATGAACACTTCAGCGGCTGCAGACTCGGGGTGGAAAGTTATCAGAATCTGACATACCAAGTTAAATATGTTTATTACTCTGCGGTGATTTGACTCTTCTTGTGATTAATATTAACAGCCAGAGCTCTGACCTTGATGTCGGCTACATCTCTTCTAGTTAGCTGTCCAACAGCACCACCTGCTGGTCAACACCGCTACAACATGTGGATTACATCTGGTGTTTACTAAACTGGCAAACAAAACAGCTGGTCCTTTACTTTAGTAGTTTGATTCCTAGAATATATATTTTTGGATAACTTCTGTGTAACTGTAAAGTAGGTCGCTTTCACAGTATATGTCACACTGAAATGTAGAATAGCAGAGGCATAAAGTAGCGGTTAAATCTAAACTCAAAACCACTGAGGGGCGGGGCATCAACAGGCTGAGGTTAATTGACGTAGCTAGTTAACCCTAAATAACAAGAGTAAAACTAATGCGTCTTTGTCTTTGATGCAATATTTATTGCTCACCGTCCATGGTCTTCAACATGTTACATGCAAGAATCCATAAATCTCCATGAAGCCAAACTACACATTATTAGAAAAACAACGCAGCGTTTACCTTGCAACATGTGACGGCCAGAAAACTGCTTGTGCTCCTCCTCCGTGCAGCAACACCTGTCACCTGAGTGAGAGTTCCTACCTTAATATTAAGTTTATATAGTTTTGAATTAAGTGTTTACTTTTGCATAAAAAAAACGACGTTATGCATTATATATGTTTTTGGTTTTGTGTGTAGAGAGAGGAGAGGGCCCTAGTTTCAGAAATTGTAGTTTTGCAATTTCAAAAAAACTGTAAGTTGTGTTTACTTGATAACTAAACTCCCAACAATGGTAATATTAAAGACATCCTCCAGACACACTTTAATACTGAAATACTCTTTATTATTTGAGAAATATGTTCCACAAAATAAGTAGAATTTACTACTTAACAATCATTGTAAACAATCCAGAATCTATGAATGTGCAAATATTGGTAATTTCAAAAGTTCAACTTGCTGGACAAAAGATGTCTTCTACTTCACTGTAAAGTCCGTTCTCACTGTGAGTTACAATACCCATACTACCATATATTTAGTATGCCAGAAAAAGATTTTGATACATAATATGTCAAATGCAGTATGACAGAAATACCAGGAAGTCTGACTACATCCAGTCGCATTTCGCAGTATGCACATCATCATGCTTTTGTAGCTATTCTGACCCATAGTCCTTTGCCATGTTATGAGGAAGTAGTGTGTCACAGTTGAATGCAAACTGCATGCAACAGTGTGTACTTTGTAAGGGCGGCTGTAGTATGTACTAAAAGTAAAAAGAAAAAGTATGCGACTTGCGTTGCAGCTTCTGTGTTTGTGTACTGGAGGTTTCAAGTTTCCACATCACACTTGTGTAAGCTGACCCGAAATCCTGCTCTACATACACAAATTCAACTCAGATTTAATGTTAGCATGGACAAACGTCTTCAGTGTTTTCTAGTGTCAAACCCTGCACACACAGCATACTGCACAGTGAAGCTCAAACATCATAGTGAAGTAACAATAAGCTAAACTTTGAGTGGAGGGGGACTTTGAGAGTGAAAGGTCAGACAGTTTTAGGCTGATATCTGCAACTCTGATGGTAAAACCATCAGACACATTTTATGCAATTAAACAACATTCCTTAATTAGTATAGTATTACATCATTAGTCTGCTTCAATTGTTAAATGGGGATTTAATCCAAATCATCTCCCATGTAAATCAAGGAAAAGGTAGAAAACACAAACATTTTCCCTCCAGCAAAGTCTTTTATCCCTGAATTGTTTTGGAGCAGCTCTCACCGCCCCACCCTGGGTAACACTTGCACTGAAACTCAGACTTCAAGAACATTACCTCGAGTGTTCTCATCTGTCCTATAACGCTGTAGTTCTGCCGTCTGCCTGGTTTCTTCTCAGACACCACCTTCCACGCGGCAGGTTCCAGGTGGAGGTAGACCTTCGAGGTCGGGTTCCTCCTCTGGCATCTTCCCTGAGAGGAACAAATGGTCTGGCTGCAAAGAACGGCCGCCGCCGTTACGTTCACCAGGTAAGGACCCAGAGTGTCATCGATGTAGGATCTGATAGTATTACAAATGACCTAAAAGAAGGAAAGAAGCAAGTTTGAGGAAATTATTTAGCCTTATATAAAAAAAAAGAAACTATATACTTGTGTTCCATGTTTAAAATGTGCATGTATTCAGTAGGAGTGCCATTGGATGGGATTTGCTGACAATAAAAGAGATACTGTATAATGCCAGAAGAACAATTCTAATGCATGAACTACAACAATAAAGTAATGCACAATTTAAATAGTTTTAAAGAAACTTTTTTTTTAACTCTGAGGAAGGAGGTAAATATCCAAAACATATTGGTAAAATAAAATTGACTAAAAGGGGTCAAGTTGCTGTTCTTGTTTTTAAATTGTCTAACTGTAAGAACACACACCATCAAAATTAAAACATGTCACACAGCTCTGCTCCAGTTTATGTCGTTTTTTTCAGAAAATACTCTTGATCAATAAAGAGAAATATACACGATCATAAACACAAAACGTGTAGGCAGGTATTGAAACATACTGCGTGCATGGTTTCATGGTATTTCATGGTATCAGAACCAAGAAAGTGAAGAGCGGATCACCTTGACAGCCATCCAATCGATCTCGGTAACTGTTGGCCTACCTGAGATTTGGAGAGGGCATGGTCGCCCCAAAGCACCACCCCAGCAGATCCTAAAGCAGCACTCTCTCCGATGGTGTAGACCAGGTGCTCCTGCAGGAAGACAACACAAGAGGTTAGGCAGAACGTTCAGACCAAACCGGCACAATCCCAAAAGTGCATGGAGTTAAAACATCTGCCACTTGCCTGAGAGAGGAAATCTAACGTGTATGTGTAAACGATGCGAGCGTACGGGAACACAGGCGGTGCTGATGGAGTCAGCAGAGCTCCTGCTCTCATGGCCTCCAGGATGCGGTGGTGGGTGTAGAGGAGCACCTCTCTGTCGAGGTGTCGCAGCTCGAGGCTGAGGTAGATGTCAGGATAAAGAGCAGAGGAGATGTTCCACAACCACGACAGCTCGTCGTTCTTCTTTAGCTCTGCAGGAGGACACTCCCCCGTGTAGTTTGTGCTTTTGTCACTGTAGTAGTTGTAGCAGTTGGGAAAACCATAATAACCCCACAGCCCATTTGGTCTCTCCTGCTGCCCGAGTTTCAGCGTTTCCTCCATGAACTTCCTCCCAGCTTTCTCAAACTCTACCCGAGCGGCAGCGTCTACCTGCGCAGGGCTCCAGTCGGGATGCCTGGACCTCACCAGTGCTTTTGATCCCACCCAGTACACCTGCTTACTGTCCCAGTTTCTCTCCCATACAGGTCTCCAGCTCTCCCAGTCCACCACAGCCAGACCCTGAAAATCCCCGTCAGGGATCCAGGTGCGGATATTGTCAGAGGCCACTCTGAGGTGTTCATCGAGACTGGCGTTCTGCGGCACCCCGCCATTGACAGCCACCGCTTGACTGGTGTACCTGGGATACAGGCCGAGCTTTTCAGAGTAAAAGATTGTTATGTTTTCGCCCATAAAGGTCTGGTTCTTGTTCTGGACGATGCTGAACGTGCCCAAGTCGAGGTCCACGCCATATTGAGAGAGACAGCTGGCAGTAGGAGCGTTCCACACAGTGAGGAAAGGCACATGGGAAAAAGGTGAAGTTGCAAACTGCAGCCCTGAAACAAGGCTGATCAGGTTTAAGAAAAGCGGCACCTCATGATGAAAGGAACTCATGATGAAAGGAACTCATCCCTGCAAAAAAAGGAAAACATTGCACTGCTGATATCCAGGAGTACAGAAACAACCAGTAGCTTCTCTTTTTGGACCAGTAACTTTGTTGTCCTGTTCATGTCAGTCAAATCAATGACTTTTTAACTTACTTTTCGTTAAAATCTTAAATCATTTTACCATTATTTGTGAATTCAATTAAACTATTTGTGATAACTAAGCTAACTAATTGTTTGCGTAGCATTAACATAGCTAATTTGTATCAGTGTGATGTTAACAAAGTTAGCTAGCTTCTCCTGCAGGCGAAGGTGGCTATGCAATTTACTATATTAAAATGTGTGTGCTTGAACTGCCACCATGATTATATTACACAAAAGATAACTATTGACTGTGTCATAACGTATGAATAAAGCTTAAATCTTGGTTTACTCTCTGTTGTCACTTTTTGTGTGTCTTTACAGTCTGTGGTCTTTGCTGTGAATTGAGAAACAAAGAGATGGAGAAAAGGTGGAGGTTCCATTCCAGGAGCCAATCAAATCAGTGGGCGGTTAGTATCATGACAGGATATTGCAAAATTACTACATTTTTCAAGTTGTGATGCAACTGATGTTTGTAAGATCAAAACTCAAAGCAAATTAGCAGTTTTTTCAGACTCTGTATAAGTCAGCTTTTGACTTTACATGTTATTTATTTGTCTAAAAATCCAGCATGGTTTCCCAGATAACCACACATGTTGATGTGGTGAAGCTACATGGAACTAAAGCATTCATGTAGTGTGACACGATGATCTTGGACGAAATGACAAACAGTAACTTACCTATTTAACAACTGGATGAGGATTTCGATTCGCAAGACTACTCTGTGGTCTGAACGTGAAGTGAAAATCCAGCAGCAGTCTCATGATCTGAATGACACATACATGAGAAAGGAATGGGGAAGGAACAAAAGTGAGCACTTTCAACCAACCAATCAGAAGCGAGCAAATGTTTTCAAACAACCAATCACAAATGTGCACAGAATCTCTGCCGGCCAAATACAGGAATGCAGATCATTTTAAGGAGCAGATTTAAAGTTACAGGCAAATTAAAAGTCTGAACACAGTTTTCAGTTTGTTTGAAAAAAATTAAAAAGTAGCTGAAAATAAGCAGTTTACTGAAGAGACTTGACCTGGAAAGGCAATATAGTTCTACACTAAATAGCTGTCAAGCAAGCCATAATGAACTCTTCATCCTGCCAATTTAAATGTATGCCTTGCTCGACTCTTAAAAGCAGTAAAAATAACTCTTGGCTTAACGGCACCCTACAATTACATGGGGAAGGGGTATGAGGCAGCAGCCTGCAAAATGTTTCCCTCCCTGAGGACTCGCTGGCTTTGCCTCCCTTAGTGGACAAAGACAATTTGCCTCCCCTTAATGGACAATGATGACATGTTTCCCCTCCAGATGCTTGTCTTTTATTAACTGCAAACAGCAGAACCAAACCTCTGTTATCTGAATACCAAATTCAGTTCAAGGATGGATTTCAAAATGCTATTACTTGTCGAAACAGCATTAAATGGTATGAATCTATGATTTACTTGTATGCTATGAAGCATCCAGACCCCTCAGGTCATCTGGGACAAGCAGTGTTCCCAGTATCAGTATCAAAACCAAGCAAGGTGAAGCAGCGTTCACTTTCTTTGCTCAGCATCTGTAGAACAAGCTTCCTGAATACCTGAGGTCTGATGAAACCGGCGGCTCGTTTAAATCAGGGCTTAAAATGTTGTTTACGGTGGCTTTTCAATAAATTGGACACATACTGTTAGCTTTCATTTTAAAAAGCAATTTATTCCTAATTTTTAACGACTTATTTGTTGGTCCTCATTTTCTGCTTGTGTTTTCATTGCCTTATGAATGCAGTTTTCATGGTTTCTTAAAGTCTTGTGTTTAATATATTTGTATGCCTCTGTAAAGCACTTTAAGTTATCTCGTGTATGAACCGTGCTCTATAATATGAATTGCCTTGCCTTCAAAGTTGTCTCTCCCCTCTACATTGTGTTGTGTCAATCTTAAAAGAAATTACACATGGATATTAACAAAGTTTATTTACTTGGACAAAAGTCAAAGTTGAGAAAACATAATAAAAAGAGAGGCGGTCATGTAAGTGAAATTGTGGAACATACAAAGTGTCAGCATTTGCTTTTTAGATTCGGATGTAAAATAGCTTCTGAAATACAGAAAGTACTTTTTTAAGAGAAAACTAGTAGTCATGATTTGGACACAAAAATAAGAAAATATCATACAAAACACCTAAAAATACATTCAAATAAATAGTAATACTGTGATTGCCTCCAGAAAAACATCAGATGTCAGAGGTCATGTTGAAAAAAGATCAGGCACTTAAAATTCATTGTGCTATTACCAGACTTAAGTGCATCAATTCCACCTTCACCACACACCTGCTGACATACATTAACTTGTTCCTCACATTCCCAACAAATGTCCTCTCTATGAGAAACATGGAATTTGACACCTTGGGAAACAGTGACCGAGAGGAAACAGAGCAAAATGTAAACAAGGTCATTTCCAGCGAGCCCTCAATTGTTTAAAAAAAAAAAGATTAAAAGTTCTTAAACAAATATAACGTTGCAATTCCCACAGTGTTTCTTTCACAATTTCACTTTGTGTCATCCATATTTTACAGCAATTAAAAGAAAAAAAAGGACACTCCTCACGTGTTCATCTCGTATGCTCCAGTATTTAGACGTATAAAACACAGCCCTATCTACATGGTGTGTTAACAGAGGAGCAGAGAGACAATCAGTAAGATGACACATTGCAGTGCCGACGCCGTGATTTGAGATGCCGCCCCTCTTTGGTGCAGAGGGTCTGTCTGATCGCAGCCCTCTCCCTGATAGCCGCTGTAGCACTGGCAATGAAACTGGGTTCGAAAGCTTCTCTTCTCTTCTTCGCCGAGCTCACCGACGACCGCCGGCTTACCGCGCTGCGTGACGATAGTGTGGCTGAAAGGGTGCAGATGCAGGTAAACATGGCTGTCTGGATTTTGGCGCAGACAGCGGCCGTGAGAAGCGCACAGCGTCTGGCTGCATAGCTCTGCTGCCGTGGAGACGTTGAGGAGGTATTGACTCAGCGGACCCCGCAGATACGAATCCAGGTCAGAGCAGCTGTTCTGGAGAGGACAAAAGGAAAAGAAACAAAAAACAGTCATCACTCACTTCAAGATTCACAGTAAGACAGGTCTGCACTGTCGGCCTTTAACACAAAACCTGCCTGTGTTTAAACATACACTGATCAGGGGTGTGACTTTTAAAGTATTTCAACAGCTTTCTGTGTAACATTCAGTGGTGGAAGAAGTATTTAAGGCCCACTTTCAGAAAGCCCAACCCTGAAATCTGAGTTGACTAACCATGAGATGGGAAACTCAAGAGTTTTCAGGTTCCTGAATAGCAGAGTTTGTTCAATCAACTCTGAGTTTGTTTACTCTGACTTGAGCTCGTGCTTGGTGAATGAAAGAAGCCATCATCAATAAGGCAAAGGTGCCATGACTCACCACGGAAACAGGTAAACAAAAGGCCGAGCCTCCATTTGAATCCAGTGGACGTAGAAATATGAATGCATGTACATGTGGAGTGGACACATTTATCTTGCCTGAGTCAGAGCGGGGAAAAGTGTCATTAAGTAACACAAAGTTTTATTGAGTATTGTCCAATAATTCAACATTTGCCAGACTTACATTTCCTTAATGGATGATAAAGTGTCTGTCTGACAGTGTATTAGGCTGTGGCCTACATTACACTTTAAATATATTTGTCCAGCTTTAATCAGACGGGGACAAAACACAGCAACTGAAGATGAAAAATATAGTTGGAGAGCGAAACAAATATACAGTATAGACCAAAAGACAAAAGACACGTGATTGTAAGCTCACAATCTGATCTAGTAATAATGTGTTTGGTATACAGTGGATTTTAAATGTTATACATCTATTTGTTTCTCTGCTCAACAGCATTCAGTTGCTTTATTTCAGCTACTTCAAGAAAGGCATTACATTTAAACACCAGAATGCTGCTAAAACACGTTCAGACGCATACGCAGCCAGGCTATTTAAAAAAAAAAAAAAAAAAAAAAAAAAAAAAAAAAAAAAAAAAAAAAACTTACTTTCAAACTACTCTGCAGCTGCACCACAATCCTGCTCACTCAGAAATATTAACATATAATCTCCAACTTATGTTCCATCGGTGACAGCTGACATCAACTGTGTGCAGAAGTGTTCGGTCGTTCTCTGTGAGTAATTATTTTAGCTATTTAAAGACTCAAGTATGAACCACGATCATCCCGGCAAACAAAAACTATTGTGTCTCATTTTCTTCAGTTTGAGTGAATGTGAGATATGCTGCAACAACTGGTTCTTCATAACTGGCTGATTTTATGATAAATGTGACTGGAAAAAAACAAACGCATCTCCTGTGTATCTGAGAACATCCATGTGACTCAAGACACTTCGTTTTAACCGGAGCCCTGAGGAATAATTGTTAGTTATCAGATGACACATCACTGCCAGCAGCAGCAGAGTCAGAACTTACCAGATGATGTTTATGGTCAAATCTGTAAGTAGTGTCTGAGTGAATATTGTGTTTGTTTTACAATTAGCGTGCAGATGCTTACTCTGCTGCTTGCATAAGCTGCATCTCCCCACATGATGATCCCAGCTGCTCCTAAAGCCACGCTTTCCCCGATGGTGGACACGAGGTCGGTCTGTGAAAGACAATACAGCACTTTAAACCCCCCGGCGCATTCAACCTCATACATTTCTAAGACTGCACAGGAAAAACACACTGTTCAGTATCACTATGACAGGGTCAGGATGTTAGTGGGGCTACTGTGTGTGAAGCGCAGCACCAGCTCTTATCAGTTCATTCTTCCAAAAGGAATGGTCTATAGGGTGTTAGCAAGATTTTTCAACTTGACCAACACCCTTCCTGCGCACTCAACATAAATGAGAGGTATTTGGATGCCTGTCAGCTCCCAGAACAGGAAATTACTGTGACTGCTGATAAGGAAAAGCAGAGCTATAGCTCCATGCACTGATCAGAGAGAGAGAGAGAGAGAGAGAGAGAGAGAGAGAGAGAGAGAGAGAATGCTGAATTCTACATGGTCACTGAGAGTTAATCTTGGAACAAAAAGTCCATATCCTCTGCTTCCTAAATGTTATCATAGATCATTATCATAAATGACCGAACCCGCACAGCAACACATTAGTCATTCTAAACTTCAGCAGATTGGTAAAGAATGAAAGAAATGTTTCAGGAAGGACTGGCAGTGGTTCTAAAGTGGGAGTATCACCTCTGTCAGCTGTTCCAGGGAGTTGGTGTAAGTGGGCCGGGTGTACACAAAGACAGGACGTGCCAACCCATCGCCTGATGAGGCCAGGCGCATCCCCTCCTTCACTCGGTTCCGGACAAACTCACGTCCAGAGTCTGAGGAACGCAGCACGGCGGCCATGTAGATGGAGGGGAAGAGGGCCGTGCTCTCAGTCCACAGCCACTTCAGCTGCTCGTTGCGGGCCACCTCCACATCGGGACAGCGGCCCGTGTAGTTCTCCAGAGTGCGCCTGTAGTCGTGGTTGTAGCAGTCGGGGAACAGGTAGAAACCCCACAGCTGGTTGGGCCTCAGGTTCTTGGCGTACCTCAGCGTCTCCAGCATGAACTTCCTGGCAGACATCTCAAACTCCTGCTGGGCCACTTTCCCCACCTTCTCCGGAGGCCAGGTGGGGTTCTTCTGACGCACCAACTCACGAGAATGTCGGCGGTACACATCTTTGGTTTCCCAGTTACGTATCCAGAGTGGGCGCCACTCCTCCCAGTCAATAACGGCCAGACCCTTGGCCCCCGGTTCCCTTATGTACTTCTGCACCCCCTCCGGCATCTTCTCCAGGTGCTTAGTAAGACTGGCCGCCTGCGGCAGCCCCCCGTTCATCGCCGTTTTGTCTGGTGTAAAGTAGGGGTACAAGCCCAAGCGGTCCCCGTAGAAGATGGTGAGGTTCTGCCGAACAAAGCCCTCATTGGGAGAGGCCACAATCTGGAAAAGGTCCAGCTGAAAGCGAATACCATGCCGCGGGGCACAGTCCTCAGTCGGGGCGTTCCAAGCAAGGAGCAGAGGCTTTTGTGAGTACAGTGGCCATCTCGTGGGTTTGAGCCCCAAAGCACAGAGGCAGTCCCATAGCAGCACGATCAGCAGCAGTACTTTCCAGTCAGGCAGAGTCCAGAACAACATGTCTTCAGATGTGAATGGACGGATGGGACCGTCGCTCTCTGCTCTACAAGTTTCAGAGGAGATGGAAATTTAGTCTCTTCAAATAAGCGGCAGTCTGTACATTCCTTCATGAGGTTAGCTACTCAAAAGGCTAATTAAAGTATTTATTATTAATATTTAATTACAGAAAACCAATGCTTCAATCACAGACTACGAGGCTGCGTAGATAATGTATTTATGTATTTAAAGCAGCTTAGGTATTTGAGCAGAGTTTCACATTTATATCAACTGACAGAAAGTGACGTTTTACTGTTGTGCACTATTATAATAAATGTTTAAAACACAGCCTTGTAAAATAATCAGAAAATAAAAATCTAGCTAGTTTTAGTC